AAATACACACACATGTATGTATATTTAAGGGAAAAAAAAGTTATTTATATATACAAAATATTAATATTTATAAATAATATACATTTTGTACAAATATACATGCAATATATCACTTACACCCAAAACCCAAAATATATGGAATACATAACAGGAATATCACTGAAATATCACTTTCACTGAAACTATGGATATCTTGTGCTGTCATTTTACTTAGAAGGAAGACTTTTGTCTGCCATATAGTTTTTGCAGGGAGGTACGTCAAGGAAAGCTAAAATTGACAGTTTTATGGTACAATTAAATGTTGTTCCTGGGGTCTGAGAAAACCTCAACTTCAGCTCCAGTCAGCTCCAGAGCTGGACAGTAACAAAATACATTTACTTGAGTAGGATCTGTACTTTACTCGAGTACTCATGACTTTACTCAAGTACATTTGAGATGGAAATATGGTATCCTTTACTCCACTTTTTATCCATAACCTTGTACCGGTACCTGTTACTACTAAAAAAAAAAAAAAAAAAAAAAGAAATGGATGAAGACGCAGCAGGTCCATACCGGGAATGTGCCGACCCGTGGCCCCCACCTCGCCAGACTATTTCAATTTTCTGTATATTCTGAAATTTTCTTAATGTGCAATAAAACAACATGGTAAAAAAGATAAAAATTACTTGATTTTACTTTCAATTCCTTTTACATTCTCAAATGTATTAACATTAATATTTTTTATAACTCCATGTAGTATGTTTCAGTACATAAATGTAAGCACTGTGGCAGTAGTAATGCAATATTTAGAAAATTTACTCTTGTACTCTTGATACTCAAGTACTTTTAAAAACAAGTACTTCAGTACTTTTACTTAAATAAATATCCGACTGTAGTACTTTTACTTTTCCTTGAGTGAAATTTAGCAAGGGGTATCTGTACTTTTACTAATAAGTAATAAAGCTTTGTACTCTGTCCGCCTCTGGTCAGCTCATTCCAAAGTTCTTGGAATTTAAAATCCAAATCTTCAAATCTCTAATTCACTGATCTTGCAGAGGGAATGATATCCGGGTTGGGATGAACAGGCCAATTTAGTGCATTTCAAAACCAGGTTCATGTTTGTCTCTCTTGTATAAAACTGAACATGCTTTTAGTGCAACTCACTGGAGATTTTTTGTTGGTTAACAGTATGGCTATGTTGGTCCACCAGCATAACTTAGAAATTCCTGCAGTGGTGGTCTCTGGCTATTTTTTTCTTTTCTTTAAGGTGCAATGTGTAAAAAGTTTGAGTATCTATTAATAGAAATGCAATATAATATCCATAACTATTTTTCAGTTCTCTATAAAGAACTTACTTAATAAACCTTAAAGTTTGTATTACCTTAGAATGAGACATCTACATAATTTCTCATTTATATCTACATAACCGCGGGCACCCCCTTCTATGAAGGTCTACATTTTGTGACGTCATTTTTCTACCGTAGCCGAAAGCGAACAAACAGTGCTACAGAGTGTGTTTCGTCACTACCTTGAAAGAGAAGCCGCAGAAACCTAGAAGTTAGCTTTTCCCTTGTCAGTGGTGTAAAATACGTAGTTGGACTGTTTCATGTAACTTAGTTCTCCCTCGCTGTGTTATGGCTTTTCTATGTGGGGATAAATGTGCTAGTTACGTTCGTGAGACAGTTGATTAGTACTCTTGTCATTGACCGTAAAACAGTATCACAGGAATCACCAACCAGTCGACAAGTTGATCTTGGAAGCATTTTAATTTGATCGTGAAGAGTTTTCAAAATCAGAGAAAAAAAAAAGAAAAGCCTGCATGGTGCCCCTAAATGATGTCTAGGGGATGCGGAGACAGGGCCAGATCTACCATACGGGCAATCTGGGCACATGCCCAGGGGCCCTTGCGCAGAGAGGGGACCTCTGTGATCGGATTTTCTTTTCTTCTTTTTTTTTTTTTTTAAATAGAATACACAAGGCCTGGCCTCGATCTTGATAAGTATCCAATCAGAATAAAAAATAAATAAAGACCAGCAGGGCTGCCAAGAGAGAAAAACAGAAGGAAAAGAAAGAGAAAGCGGCTGCTATTAAAAATGTCCCGCGAATAAATAGCTTTTTTAAATGAGCTAAGAATTACGAAGAGGAGGGTGTCAAGGAGCTAACCACCTTTAATGCTGGTCTATACTGCCTACACTCAGAAGCAGAAGTGTTAGCTTTAGCGAAAAAGTTGTGGAAATACAGAGATGAGGCCGGTCATCATTATCAGCAAACAGAACAAGGTATTTTTTTTTTTTTTACTTTTTAGATTTAAATGTGGGTACGTAGTTTAATTCAAGTATGCCTACCTTTCAAATAAAAAATAAATAAATAAAAAACTGTACTTTTACCTTGTTACATTAGGCGACATTCCTCTTGTTATTCAGTAATATGTTGTTAAATGCGTAGTTTATTCCAAGTGCGCTGCATCTTTTTTTTTTTTTCTAGGCATGGCTCAATTCACAAATGAATCACTTTTTTGAGTCGATTCTGTTCAAAGTCTTAATCAAACATGTTGGCAGAACTGTCTAAATCCATTCGCAATTCAGTTTGAATGATTTGCTCAGATTCCTTTACGCACTGAAACGTCTGAAGCGGTTTCACACTCACTTTAACAGGAAGATTAAAGAACATCATGGGCATTGGATGAAGTGGCCGTGTTCAGCTTCACATGCGCGAGCACAAGAGTTTAACGCTTTCTTCTCTGTGTCAATGTTTCCCTTTACCTGCATTTGAATGTAAAACTCTGCAGATTTACTTTATTTCGACACTGATTAATAATCCAATGTAGTTGTATAAGTTATTCAAACCTAAAATTATAATTTTTAAACATTATTCTGTAGCCCAAAATTATTTTATTTAATTATTTAAATAAAAACAAAATCTACGCTTTAACCAGCTCAGCCACAGTAACAGCTCATATTTAGCCAGCTAAACTTTTACTACCCTGTTAGGAAAAATATGTAGTTGGATAGTTTCATGTGGTTCTTCTCCCTCGCTGTATTATGGGTTTGCTATGTGGTAGAAATGTGCTGGTTATGTTCATGAGACAATCAGCTGATTACTATTATTATATTATATATTAAGACTCTTGATCCTCACCTGACTATGGCTTTGTAAACTTTATCCATGTTGTGGTTTATAATGGACTGTGGTACAGAAACAGTGACAATGTTCACACTCTTGGCTTAATCTGGCTATTGTCTGCTGTCTCGACGATATGTTTGTCCTGTTTTAGCCACCGTAGCTTCATCGAAAGGTAGGGGTGAGCAGTGGGCCGAGCCCTTAGTGCAAACTTGCAACCGAACCGCTAGATGCCACTAAAATCACACACTGCACATTTAACTACTTTAAAAGTCTTTTTTTGGTCACTTTCAGACAAACAAATTAAAGAAAATGACACATATACAGCAATACAATATACAAATAATATAATATCAGGTAGAAGCAAACATACATCGCTCTGTCCTTTTAAATGTCTGTGTTGAAAGAACATGTTTGGCTGTTTAGTGAAGCTGATTGCTGTAGCCTATTTATTTATTTGTAGCTGGGCATTTTTTTTTCATCAAATATTCTTTATCTCTTCTCTACATACTGTAATTAATGTCGTTAGTACATTATCAGTGGCTGCAGTTCAAAATAATATACTGTAATTTACAGTATATTGATTGTTGATTGATTGGTGATTGATTGGCTATGATGATTGGTGCCTCCTCTCCAATATATATATATATATATATATACATGTACAGTATATATTGTTGTTGTTGTTGTTTTTTTTTTTGCTGACTGAACACTGACTGCTGAAAGTCAAATTCTTCCCCCAACAGAAGCAAAAGTCTCTGGCTATGGATTTTCCTCTTCCCTTTCTCTTTAGCAGTTTAATTAAATCAGCAGATTTGACACGTTTGGGAAAGAACAGTGACGGTTCTGACTTCATTAATATTTTATGATCCTACAGTTGTCAAATGACAAATGGGAAATACACATTCTGAGACATAAAATGAAAATAACAACTATGTTAGTAACATTAAATCACCTCCACATTTTGGATAGGCTGTGCCTTTCTTGCCTCCCCTTTGCCGCCACTGAATTCATGTGTGGGGTGATTTTTCAGCAAGTTTCTTTTAAAACAAAAGATTCGGTTGTGGTTTGAAGTGGACCAATATGAATAATTATTTGACATTTAAATATGTTCACCTATTATGTTCACAAGGTTGAATATACTGTATTGTTGCAAATTCTTATCGAACAATACATTTTCTTAAAATTTCCAGACTCAAATGATGTCAGAGGAGTTCAATATTTGTTCTTCATTGAAAACCATTTCCATTGCCTTAATTGGCTTACCATTTATATAGATTTTATTTAAATACCCTAATTTGATGCAATAATACCCAGCTTTCCCAGCATTCCAGATACTGCTTTGAAATTGCTTGTACAGTATATTGATTGTGTTGTTATTGATATTGAGTCCCTCTTTCCTCAGTGTTATGTGCTTTAAAGTAATGATTATGCCATTTTCTTTTCTTTCTACCTTTTCACAATCTCTATGTGCCAATGTTTTTTTTTTTTAAAAAAACAATTTATTTACAGTCTCCTTGTTTACATATGTTACCTTATTTTAGTAATAACAGAAACTTATGTATAATTGCATACAATTTACATATGTTGTCTATATGTTGTCAATTGATATTACTTAGTACTTTTATGTATACTTTACTTGTAACAAATACATCCTGCAGTGTAACCAAAGCTTATACGTGACTGATGTAACACTTTATGTTGGCACACCTCACATGATGTACAAATAACACTTGACCCACAACTGATGTCATATTTAAGCAAACAAGTTTTTAATCTGTTTCCTTGGATATTTTACAAGGTATCTTAGAGCCAGTATCATCATTTTGAATGTAATAAGTTCTAATGTGATTCATAAATACTCATGATTATTCTTGTATCCTGTCTCTTTGTGAGTGTAGGAGATCAGTGATGCTGAGATTATGGAGTTGGCCCACAGTTCCTTGGGAAGGATGACCGTCGTCAGGCAGATTTTCCCCCTCTGGAGAGACAGCAGTGTGAGCTGTATGAGGAACAACCACCGCATCTCCTCACTGCTTTGCGACCCTCAGGAGGGCTACCTGCAGTCACTGGAGGTTAGTAACCATAGAAACACCATCATCGCCATGTATTAGATGGCATTCTCAAACCCATTAAATCTAGAACAAGTGAAGTTAAGATCAGGGATTTTTAACCTTTACAGACAATGGGACCCCAGAGTCTCTCACAGTGTTTTTAAAGTTATTTATTGTTTTATTTTTATATTTGTTTAATTAGGCAGTTTTAGTTTTTTTTTTTTTTTGCTAATTTATTTTCAACTAGCCCCTATGAGAGTTTTCATTAAATGATTTTAGTTTTAGGGGAAGATTTACTAAACAGGGTAAATTCTATCGCTTTGGATAAAAGCGTCTGCTAAATGAATAAATGTAAATTAGCGTGAGAGCACAATTCCAATACATACAGCGGCAATGGGAGTGGAAAGTTCTGAGTCCGATCTACAGACGACTCACAAATTAAAGAGCCCCTATCATGGATTTTTGAAAATGACTGTTCATGTAGTGTGGAATATAGCTGCAAGGGATTGAAAACATCCTGCAAAGATTTATATCTGAAAGTGCACCGTTTATAAAGTTATTGCCTTTCAAAAGTGAGAGTCGACTCTGAGTTCGATGAAATGAATTGTTTTTGAAACGAGTCATTAGCTGTTTCGTAGTGACGTAGATGCGAAACATTAGCTCATTGGCCGCTCCCAACAACTGCGCCCGCAGATGGAAGTGTAACCTTGAAGTCTAGAACACATTCAACTGAATAGCATCATGTCGAGAAGACGCTGTGTTCTACATTGCAAAGACAGTTCAGCCACTTGTTTTCATTGCCCAGGGACGAGCATGTGAAGAATCAGTGGTTAGAGTTCATATTTGCAACGATACCACAACAGTATACCCCGAACCTTGTGTTTTCATAATTTTAATGACGAATCATTCAAAAACATAAATGAAACAAATGTGGATTCGCAAGCCGATTGTTCCCGAAGGAGGGCTCAGTATCCAGTATATGGATCAGGTTCGTCCTCCTCCGAATCACAATCTGCAAGTAATATTAATAATGTGTGCTGTTATGTTTTCTGCAGCATGCACAATATAGTTATATTTTTTTGTGTGTGTTGTGTTGTGTCGCGCAGCTTCTAAGCAGGGTGAAGTTAGTTTTGTTTTTGATATTCCCCAGATATTCACTTAAAAATGGCAATTACCTCCTAAACGACTTAGCCAAAAGTAATTTAAACCCCATTGCCGCTAAAAAGGCAAGGCTAACAATGTTTCACAAGCTTAATCTTCCGTATTTTCGCTCTATATAATAAGCACTACCCTCAAAAGCCGCCGCAATGTGAGTTTCACCGGGAAAGCTCACTCTTGACGGAGTCCCTTGACTCGCGTGAGTAAGGGACCGTGTGGAAAGTACACTTTTTCTGACACATTTGTTCATACACTGATACAATTTTCAACACTTGACAAGCTATAATCCATTAATGGTGATGGGCGTTCCATTTTCGACGATCTCTGCCTACGGTTCACCAATAACAACTGACTGGGTCATTTGACCAATCGCCGCAGATTCGCGTCACTCAAAGGAGGTGTTTGGGAAAACGAATCGTCGAACGAATCATTTGGGAGTCGTTGAGCAAATCAGGTAAAAATAAATGCATATTATAAGACAAATAAAGTGTTGTTTTATCGTTGCATGCACGTTAAACTGTTTTTGGGAACTCCCAAAACAAAAATAGGAACATTTCAAATGCTATGATAGGAGCTCTTTAAAGAACACAGACATTGTCAGATCATTTCCATTTGGCTGACGCAATCTACCAGGTAGCGTCTGGTTTAAGGCCGGTTATAAGGAGGTAAATAATGTTGCGAAGTTGTAAATACCAGTACATTGACGAGCTCAAACCTTAGTAAATTTTCCTGCATCATTCATTTAAATACTATCCTCCCATAAATGTTGCGCCTGAAAGCAGTAGGGTGAAGGGTGAAGGGTGGAGTTGGGTAGGTTTAAGGGTGGGTTTAGGGATCAGGGGGTGGAGCTAGGTAGGTTTAGGGATCAGGGGGTCGAGCTGTGTAGGTTTAGGTATTTGTAAGGTGGGAGGAGTTGGATTCAACTCCTCTCCGTGGATTTCTGCAGTGAGGGCCATCTCCCTAAAAGGGAAACTTCTACAAATGTACATTAACTGACCATGCCTTTTCAGAACTAATTTTTTACTGCGTGTCTTTAGTAAATCCTTACAGTAGGTGTTTTAAAAAAAATAAATAAAAATAAAACGCCAAAAGAGGGTTTGCACTGGTGCAAGCTGTTGCTAAAATCTGGCTCTCAGTGTTTTGTTTAATGGTCTTTTTATTTAAATTAATTAAATAATTGAATTATTTAAATGGAAGTAAATAAAGAAAAAAGGAACAACAGTAAAATAGATTTTGCAAATAATATTTTTATTTTAAAATTTGCATTCAAAAAAATAGTTCATGTTTGCTTAAAGGGTAACTAAACACCAAAACAACTTTTTTTAGTTAATGATCTGTAAGAATGGAGCTTCATAAATGCTGTTCATTGATTCGAGTACATTTTTTGACAATTGAGTATAAAGTGTTTTGATTTTCAAATATATGGTGTAAAAACGTCTGAGTGCTGCCCTCTTTAGGTTAAACGGAAAGCTCCTGCAGTAGGGGTACTTTCTAGTGATGGGAAGTCCGGTTCTTTTCCGCGAACCGGTTCTTTCGGACAGTTCGTTTTAATGAACCGGTTCAAAAAACCGGTTCACCAGTTCTTTTACGTCATCACGTAATGACGTCAATTCTATCATCCCGGCGGATAAAAATACTTCAAATTAAAGGCATTTGTAATCACAACTTCAGTTAAATAATAGTATGCATTGTCATAATCATCTTGGATAAGTTTCTTACATTTACATTTTGAAAACGAACCCTGCTGCAGCCTAGTCGATGTGCTAACGCGGATGTTTTACATGTTTTAAATATATAAAATGCATAAATGGTCTTCATCATTTTATTTGTTATTAAATAAACTTACATTCGCCGATTCGCCCTCTCATTTAAGTCCTGGGTTCACCCGTACTACTGCGTGCTCGTATATCAGCACAAGATCAGCCGGCCGAAAGAAAGTTCTGTTCAGAGACGGTGCTATCACGCATGCGCAGTATCTCCAGCTCATCGGTTCTCCGTATCGAACGTGTCCGAAAGAAACAGTTCTCGGTTCTGCACTAGTGATTCAAGAGCTGCAACAACCAGTTCTCGACTCGAGAACCATAGCATAGGCCTGTGCTGAGCTGAAACCTGAATATACAGTCGACAAAACTAAAAAAATCGATGCATGTCTGTCTCCAATATAGCCTGTAGCCTATACGTAACAGTATACATCATGTTTATAATGTGTTAACATAACGAATTAAACATATATGTTTAATTCGTTATGTTAACACATAAACATTTACTAAGCAGTGCACCAAACCTTGGCAAGAGTTTACATCAAAGATTTATATTGTTACTTAGAAATTAAATGAGCTGTTCCTGAAAATATTATTTTAGTATAATAATAAATGTTTAGTAGTTTGACAGTTTTAGAATCCAATCATTATTTCCAATCGTTAAAATAATACAGTGATACAGTAATGGGATAAACATGTTTCCAAAATGTTTTATTTTGTTACACTTACTGATGTTCAACTAAAGACGTGGAAACGTACATTTCGTCCCTCAGAAAAAAAATGCACGCATGCCCAGCTCATCAACTCATCAGTTCTCAATATGTCGAACGTGTCCGAAAGAAACAGTTCTCGGTTCTGTACTGGTTATCCGACCGCTGTATCTGTACGTTCGGTAGTACACGCATGCGCAGTGTACTACCGGACTACTTTTGAGTTACTGGAATAAAATGTACTTCTGGATATTGGTTTATTTCGATTCGGAGGGACTGTCAGGCATGTCTGAAAGTGAGTAACTTTAGTAACTTGTGGTTTAGCGCTGACGCAAGACGCGAACTGTTTCGAACGATTCAGTCCGATTTAGTGTACTGGTTCGACCGGTTCACTAAAAAGAACCGGTTCAAAAGAACGATTCGTTCACGAACCGGCCATCACTAGTACTTTCTGACGTAGCGAACTCTCAGACGCCACTCTGTCACGCCCTTGGTGCGAGCTCACCACGCCCTTGGCAGCCCCTGGTATAAAAGCATCTGGTTCCGTCAAAACTACTGTAGCGAGTCAGGAGTTGGATTTATGAGTATTGAAAACGATCAGGATAGCATATAATAGCATCTAGTTAGCATAGCATTTATATAGTTATTTAGATTCTTTTTTGAAAACGATCAGGATAGAGTATTGTTGCATCTATTTAGCATAGCATTATATAGATAATTTAGATTATTTTGTGTAGCTAGTAGCATAGTACAGTTAGGATAGCTTCAAGTTAGCATAGATTTATCAGTGTTTAGTACAGTGATCAGGATAGTAACGGAATAGAGGTGGACATGGGCTTCTCCACACAGCTCCACACGCAGTGCCAAACACTGCTCCTCCTGCAAGGACTCCTCCACCGCAGCGGCGTCTTGATGTGAGTGATCATGGATATTTTGACAAAAAGTTGAGTAGTTTGCATCACAGGATATTACTGACGGTTACAATATGCCCTATATAAAAACATGATTGTTGTTTGCTAGTGTTTTCCTTCTCTGCTGTGACGTCTAAATTTCTGCTTCTCGAAACCCCTTGAACTCATGAACAATAGTTTCATAGTAGGAAACAGATGGCTGAACTTTGCGCCGCACATACTCTGGAGTCTTACTCCTCAATTATTCATGAAAACGAGGGTTAAATGTTCTTTGATGTTTATTCATCTTGACAAAGAAAGCCTCACAGCGGTGACAAACCTGTCAGCTTTTCGTCTGCAAATCTGCAGTGTCAACATGAGCCACTCGCCTTTGTGTGTTTTTTTCCCTGTCACTCCAAAAACCAGCAATCACTGAAGTCACCCGCGCAGCTTATGCTAATACCTCCAACATGCCTTAACTGATGGTCAGTCTCAGTAAAGTG